CAAAGTGAAGAACAGTATTATTATTATTATTATTAACATCTTTATTGACAAAATTAATTACAATTTTGCCTAATCTGAGGATTTTGATAGTCTTATTAAAGTGAGGATAATGCTGGTATTCACTGTCACGCAGGACAGAGGGTCATACAAGACAATAGGTCTAAAGCAGTACACCCTTGAAGCATAAATGAAAACTGGAGAAAACATCGAGTCACAGATGCCAGAAGGAACCTTTTCAGTTAAGTCAGTAAATGGAACCGACTAGATTATGAAGTTGTCGAGGCCAATTTGAAACAACGAAAACGTTTATTTGACACGAAAACGTTTATTTGCTAATTTGACACAACGTTTTAACCGAAAATATAAACAAAAAACGAGTGAACATGTCACTGCATTGAACTACTAATGGTGGAAAGGCACAGCTTACTGGTAGACGATCAACGTAAAGTTATCTGCTGAAATCACTCATAAACAATCCTCATCTGGAGAGAAAAGGAAATGACAGAAAAGCCGAAGGCTCTCCTCTAACTCCTATAGGAAAAAAGGTGAAGAATTTCCATTCAGCAGATAAAATACAGAAAAATAGAGAGCTAGGGAGTGAGAAAGCTAATAGCTGAGAGCTAGAGTGAGGAAGCTAGAAACTGAAAGCGAGAGAAGTACAGTGCCAGAAAGCAAGAGCCCTAGAGATGAGAGAGCTAGAGAGTGAGAGCGAAAGCGAGAGGAGGGGAAGGAGGGAGGTGAGTGAGAATGGACTAACATAAACGAGACACAAAGAAAACAAACATTTTGGTTATCTGAACCAGTTTGTGTTTTTCATGTGATGAGAGAAATGCTATTATGAAAGAGGACAGAAGAGAGAAATTGAGTGGTAAAGAGGATGAAGAGAGGAGGAAAAGAAAGACTGCGGTATGGAACTAGACGATACAAAGGCAGGGAGATAGACAGGCAGGCAAGGAGTCAAGCAGAAAGCCTGCCAGGAAAAAAGATAGGCATGCAAATCTCCCTTCCCCCCCTCCCCTCCCCCTTCTCTCTCTTTCCCACATAGACATCAAGGTTGTGAAACAAAACGTGACCAGAAGAAACACTAGGTGTTTCTAGGTGAGGTGAAAAACGCTATGATATATAGAAGCTACGCTATGAAGATATGATACAGTCCAAAAGGCTCATATACCTGTGATTGGTGGTTCGGAGGCAAAAAGACGAAGCTCAACACCCATCCCCCTGAAGCACAGTTAGTTGACTACACTCTTTGAAACCTAAGCCGAGATGTTGACAATATAAATCAAGAGATAAAGTCGGAAGATAGTACAGAGACAACGAGACATAACAAGGGAGCACCACAAACGAGACATAACAAGGGAGCACCACAAACGAGACATAACAAGGGAGCACCACAAACGAGACATAACAAGGGAGCACCACAAACGAGACATAACAAGGGAGAACAACAAACGAGACATAACAAGGGAGCACCACAAACGAGACATAACAAGGGAGAACAACAAACGAGACATAACAAGGGAGCACCACAAACGAGACATAACAAGGGAGAACAACAAACGAGACATAACAAGGGAGCACCACAAACGAGACATAACAAGGGAGAACAACAAACGAGACATAACAAGGGAGCACCACAAACGAGACATAACAAGGGAGCACCACAAACGAGACATAACAAGGGAGAACAACAAACGAGACATAACAAGGGAGAACAACAAACGAGACATAACAAGGGAGCACCACAAACAAGAGAACAACAAACGAGACGTAACAAGGGAGAACAAACGAGACATAACAAGGGAGCACCACAAACGAGACATAACAAGGGAGAACAACAAACGAGACATAACAAGGGAGCACCACAAACAAGAGAACAACAAACGAGACGTAACAAGGGAGAACAAACGAGACATAACAAGGGAGCACCACAAACGAGACATAACAAGGGAGAACAACAAACGAGACATAACAAGGGAGAACAACAAACGAGACATAAGGGAGAACAACAAACGAGACATAACAAGGGAGCACCACAAACGAGACATAACAAGGGAGAACAAACGAGACATAACAAGGGAGAACAACAAACGAGACATAACAAGGGAGAACAACAAAGGAGACATAACAAGGGAGCACCACAAACAAGAGAACAACAAACGAGACGTAACAAGGGAGAACAACAAACGAGACATAACAAGGGAGCACCACAAACAATACATAACAAGGGAGCACCACAAACAAGACATAACAAGGGAGCACCACAAACAAGACATAACAAGGGAGCACCACAAACAAGACATAACAAGGGAGCACCACAAACGAGACATAACAAGGGAGAACAACAAACGAGACATAACGAGAGAGCACATCAAACAAGAGAGAACAAACGAGACATAACAAGGGAGAACAACAAACAAGACATAACGAGAGAGCACCACAAACGAGACATAACAAGGGAGAACAACAAACGAGACATAACGAGAGAGCACCACAAACCACTGAGACTGGCTTCCACCAACACTAGTGACAATATCTTCATTGTTTATATACTAACCAAAATAGACTGGCTATTTAAATTAATTAAAAAGTACGAAAAGTAAAGGGCCGGCCGTATATGAGGCTGGCCACAGTCAGCAGGTCCTGGGTAATTACTCCTACACATCATAAACAGCGATGCAATCACTGTTTACGCAATAAGCCAAGAGACAAAACCAGCAGACAGGACAAAGGAGACGCGAAACAGACATCACTCCAAGTACGCAACAGCGCATAAGTGAGATTGGATTCCTTTACGTTTAAATTATTACCCCAATACACACGCATAGTTGTATCACTGAAGCTAAACACTTTACATAATGAAGTCATCTTATATACAGGAGACACATTACCAGGAACAGCCAGGCAAACAAAGTAGAGACTCGCACGCACACCCAGGAGCGCGCGCAAACACACACACACACACACACACACACACACACACACACACACACACACACACACACACACACACACACACACACACACACACACACACTGGGGGGCCTCGTAGCCTGGTGGATAGCGCGCAGGATTCGTAATTCTGTGGCGCGGGTTCGATTCCCGCACGAGGCAGAAACAAATGGGCAAAGTTTCTTTCACCCTGAATGCCCCTGTTACCTAGCAGTAAATAGGTACCTGGGAGTTAGTCAGCTGTCACGGGCTGCTTCCTGGGGTGTGTGTGTGTGTGTGTGGTGTGGAAAAAAAAGTAGTTAGTAAACAGTTGATTGACAGTTGAGAGGCGGGCCGAAAGAGCAAAGCTCAACCCCCGTAAAAACACAACTAGTAAACACACACATTGATGGGGGATGTTGGTAGAAACTGTCTCACACTGGAAGACAGAAGAGTAAGGGGCGACAAGGTCACCACCAACACAATTCTCAAGAGGAATTGACAGGGTAGATAAAGATGAACTGTATAATAACACGGGTGGTACGCGAACAAGGGTCACAGGTAGAAACTGAGTACCCAAATGAGCCACAGGGACGTTAGAAAGAACTTTTTCAGTGTCAAGAGTAGTTAACAGATGGAATGCATTAGGCAGTGATGTGGTGGAGGCAAACTCTATACACAGTTGCAAATGTAGATATGATAGTGCCCAGTAGGCTCAGGAATCTGCACATTAGTTGACTGACAGTTGAGAGGCGGGACCAAAGAGCCAGAGCTCAACCCCGCAAGCACAACTAGGTAAGTACACACACACACAAACCTGGAAAGATCAACGCTGCAGATACGGCAGAGGCAACGCCAGATATTACGAGGACGGGAGAACCCTGCAAAGTTGAGATTGGTCCCCCGAGTGCACCTTGCAACAGATCAGCGGGCCATTGTTGCAGTATTATCACAAGGCTAGTGCCAGAGTAGTCCTGAGTAGCGGCCCCAGGACGCTCTGGCCAACTACTATGGCACGGCAGTTTGGAACTCTGGAATTACTACGTCACCCCCCTCACTCTAGGTCTCCAGCAGAAATACAGAAAAAAAGGGAGAGAAGAGAACGGAGAGAGAGAGAGGGAGGCCGGGAGGGAGGGAGAGGCAACAGTATACAAAAAACTATACAGAACCGGCCCAACAGCAGCCATAGGCTTCCGTTCCTCATTCCCTCACATACAAATGCTGGGGCTCGTTCTGCTCCATTGGCCAGATAACATGTTATTTACTATGATCGTAAATCCTATTCATGCATGTACACAATTATATTTCCATAGTTTATGCAGTCATAAGCGTGTACTAACTAGACTGCCGAGGAGAATACAAAGTTGCGTTCGACAGTCCTAGCTTCTGCTGTATACAAGATCAGCTGTGAATCTCCCATGTGATATGTAATGGCTAGTTGCCAACTGAATAATTAAATAGATGAAGCGTAAATGCTGTCATGCACCTAGTTTAGACATAATGGGCAAGATTGAGATGTGTAATCGCCTAGATGTGCTTGCAGGGTCGATCCTCCTCTCCCTCTCTCTCTCTCTCTCTCTTTCTCTCTCTCGCCACAAGCATAGTGCTCCATGCCGGGTTCTCCACAAATAAATTTTGTTCCCAATTATGTGTTACAGTTTTTGCCGGCCAACATGTCGAGAGCTCCTACCACCCTCCAGCTCTGCTCTGGCCTTTGCTCATAACCGCTCACAGCAAAGTCTAGAATTTGAACGGTGGTAACATTTTATTGTTCAACAAATAAATCGTTTCTTAAAATTTAATGCTATCAAAGTATTTTTCGTTTTGTTCTCATTCAAGACTGTGTTAATATAACCCACAAACTGGCTTTGCACCTACCTTCACAGGCCCCACAGACAGTAACATCTACCTGTCAAGTGTTCACTTCCGTCTCTTGACAGTTGTTGTTATGTTGTAGTTCTTGTTTCAACGACTACTGTTTCTTGCGAGTGTACAGAGCACACACCTCTTCTACATGGCCACGACAGTGTGAGTATTTGGTTACATTATTGACTTGAAAAAGTGATGAGTTAGTGGTCACTGAGGATCGTTGTTGTGTGGTTGGGGATAAAAAGCAGTGTGTTGAAGGGATCTTGCAGGAGTGACGCGTGCATGTTGAGGGGATCTTGCAGGAGTGACGCGTGCATGTTGAGGGGCTCTTGCAGGAGTGACGCGTGCATGTTGAGGGGCTCTTGCAGGAGTGATGCGTGCATGTTGAGGGGATCTTGCAGGAGTGACGCGTGCATGTTGAGGGGATCTTGCAGGAGTGACGCGTGCATGTTGAGGGGATCTTGCAGGAGTGATGCGTGCATGTTGAGGGGATCTTGCAGGAGTGACGCGTGCATGTTGAGGGGATCTTGCAGGAGTGATGCGTGCATGTTGAGGGGATCTTGCAGGAGTGACGCGTGCATGTTGAGGGGATCTTGCAGGAGTGACGCGTGCATGTTGAGGGGATCTTGCAGGAGTGATGCGTGCATGTTGAGGGGATCTTGCAGGAGTGACGCCTGCATGTTGAGGGGATCTTGCAGGAGTGATGCGTGCATGTTGAGGGGATCTTGCAGGAGTGACGCGTGCATGTTGAGGGGATCTTGCAGGAGTGATGCGTTCATGTTGAGGGGATCTTGCAGGAGTGACGCCTGCATGTTGAGGGGGTATAACACGTTTTCAGTGTTGTTGTTGTTGTTTCAGATTTAGCTACTCAGAACGAAGTGTCCATGTAGCACGGGCTATGGTGAGCCCGTATAGGTTTTCAGTGTTAGAGCCTCCAATATATGTAAGAGGTAAGGTGAAGACGTCGTTGAAGCAAACTCAATATCAAATTTTAAATGTCAGTATAATAAAAACATGAAAATTGAGTCATTGCATTAATCTAAGAACATTCGGATGAAGGAATAAGAGCCTAGCTCGGCCCCACAAATACATCTTGGCGAGTACACACACACACACACACACACACACACACACACACACACACACACACACACACACACACACACACACACACACACACACACACACACACACGACACATAAGCTCCTTAGTGTTATTATCCTCTTTTCTGAAGCTAATCTTCTTTTACCTGCAACTCACTCAGCTTCTTCCATCAACTGGAGACTAAACTGGACCAGAAGTGTGAAAGGCGTCACGTGTTCCTCTCGCTGTGTTCGCCTCTAAGTTTTGCAGACTGAGCATCAGCTCCTGGGTCCCGCCTATCACTCACTGGCCACATAAACCTGTGGCTCACGACATTTTGCTTCTCAGAATATCCCTTATGAGTTGTTCTATTTACTCACTATTACACTGAAGTAATTACAGAAGAAATAGTCCTCTCGCCTAGCCAATGCCCATGAAAAGTATTAATTAAATTGTTCTCTCTTCGTCAATGTCTACAAAAATCTTGTTAGGAGTGTCGCCTATGTCGTTTTCTCTTTTACAACGTTTTAAGTCTAGTTTTCTAAGCTCTTTCGAACATCTCAGCCCTTCATGTACAGGGACAAGTCTCGTAGGAATCATCTGAACTCCAAATAATTTTACTTAATGCTTTTAGGTTAAAAATTTAGGCTGTTACATATTCTAGTAGTGGTCTAGTCTTGGTGTGTACAATGTCGTGAACGTTACGCTAATGTTTGACTGTACATGCTGCAGATGTTACCTTCTTTATGCGAACCTCGTCGACGGGCTGAGAGTTTTGTCTGCGTCCAGATTGTTTTAACTATAGTCTACCGCTAGGCCGGCCTGATTGATCCTGTACTCTTGGGAAGAAATATTGATTGAAATTAGCGCACATAGTAGTATAGAACTTCTTGGAATGGAAATCTTAGAGATGGGTTATGTAGAATTTTGCAGCAATTATATTAACAGTAATATAAATGTTCCAAGTTTATGCATTTCCCTATCGCATTCTCGCTGTCGCGCACTCGGGTTCTCTTGCTCCCTCAGCCCTCGCACTCTTTCATATTCGTGTGCTCTAGCATACACTCTCCTGTACTCTCGCACTCTCCTCCTTCAAACCCCGCCCAAAGGCCACGTCTCTCGTCACACCCTCCCATATATGACTGTACTCGGGCACCACTATTCAAGCCCCCATTGTGCTGCTCTTGAGGCCGTTGTCGTGCCGTCTACGGAGTGAGAAAGTGACGGTAAAAATCAACACTAACATATATCTGCATGGTGTGGCTGCTCACGCAGTGCAAGATGGCGGCCACATCAACCTTCATCGCTGCATGATAGAAGGAGACTGACGATAATAAATGGGCTCCATATGTCAGAGTAATGAAAATCTTGCTTATCAAACTTTGGTGTCATGATTCAACACTACGGCTGGCGACACTTTGTCCTTAGCGCCAGAACGGAACCACTGTTCGACACTCAAACCTAATAATTCCTGCACCCCGGGTAGGAGAGGATGTTGAACAATAACACAACGCTCACCGGCCGGAAGCACAGCTCTTAAGAGTTTAGTTTATGTAATCTTTCAAATATTGTGTTGCATCTTCGTGTTTTGCTTTAACCTTTTATTACGTTCCTTGTCCCTAAAGTTGTTGTTGTTGTTTTTAATTTATTTTAGTTACTTAATATCGTGTATTAAGGTCCTTGTCGTTTTTTATTATGCAATGAATAATTTATAATTATAATGATCAGTTAAGTTGACTAAGGCGCAGCTGGGAATATCCCGTGCGTAGGTTCGAACCCTCATCACGGCCCTTGTGGATTTGATCAGTTAAAGCAATTAATATTACCTTCATCTTGAATATAGTACAAAGTACTTTAAATTATGTTAAAAATATATAAAATAAACGTACAGCCGTTTATTAATGAAGTTCTTTAACTTGAATTTGATTTGATACAAAGAGTAGTAGCTGTAACATCTTAAAACAATGGACATGAAGAGACAGAAACAACTGCAATAATCCTCCAGAAACAGAGAGGTGAATGATAGACAGGTCTGAAGCACCAGAATAGATCTCATGAACAAGACAAAGAACAAAGACACCGACGATAACCCCAGGACGCCATTACTGCCTCCCCTGCCCCCCCCCTCTCACTAGTACTCTTCATGTCAAGAATGGCAATTGATTCCTGCCTTCTCCTTGAGCGTTATGGGCCATTCTGGACAAGTGATGCCTCTTTTCTCCGCCCACCTTCACTGTCTCGTAATATATGCCTTCGAAAGGAGTGTTTTTTGGATGCCTAAAGAACTTTTCGAGACGAAAAAAAAAATCTTGAACTTTGTCTTCAGCTGGCATAAGATGTGCCATAATTCACCCGGAGAACTTGGTGAGATTTCCACAACATTGTGTTCAAAAGAAATCCCACGACTTCCTTTTGTCTTCAGGATACACTAAAGACGCCATAATTCACTGGAGGTATTAGGGATATCCATAAAATTTGTTGCTAAAGAGCTCCTTCTATTTTCTTTGCCCCTCGTGAGCTATATTCTGTTCTTAAATGCCCATTTTCTTTCCAGTCTACAAACATATATTGCACTAAACATTACACTCGGGATTGCCTAGAGTCCATTAACAATTACAATTACTCTTTCACTGCAAATCTTAAGATATAAAAAAGTCCATTTTACGAAGAGTCTTGAGAAAGATGATTTACCACACAGACCGGCACACGAAGCTTGAACTAGAGAACCACTTTGTTTGGTAATCCCGTGTTCCGTGAGGGCGTGTTGTTTGTCTCCCCCCATAGAGCCTTCAAGTATCAGCAAGGACATAATTCTCTGGGGTTATTGTGGAGAGGCTCCCGTTTGGGGCCGCTGGGCCAATGTTTTGACCATAAGGAATGGGCAGCAATCTGTTCTATAACAGTCCAGTAGCTTTTAGAGTCAATGTTTATGTGGGAGCTTAATTTACAGTGTTGGGCAAAACGGCCGAATACTCAGAAGACTTAAGCAATAAACAAAACAATGTACTTAATAATAAACTATAAACAAGACAAATTAAGACCGAAAAGAGATAAAAGGTTGGACTAGAATGAAAATAAAAAATTGCCATCTTGAGGGCGTCTTGGCGTCCATTTAAGCGCAAGTGCCACAACGAGGGCGTCTTGACATCACTATAAGGGCAGGTCCCGTCATGAGGGAGCAGTGGATGGTATAATTAGCCTTAGCTAGGAAGACGTCGATAATCCTAAGAAGCTTCTTGTCCCAAAATGGTATGCAACACCATATAAACTTAGGAGTATCAAGCAGATATTTTGGTGCCTGTAGAACCTTAAGTGACATAGTGTGTTCTCCACGGAGCCCTAAGCAAGTGTAGCGTCCCCATAGGTGCTCCTGCTACCCGTACACATTCTGTGACGATGAAAGAACGTTTAACACCTTAACGTCGGGTTCGTTCTTGACTCACAATCGGGAATTACGGGTTCAAATCACGAACGAGACAGAAATGATTGGGCGCGTTTCCTATCACATACTGCACTTGTTTACCTATCATGAGGTTATCTTGAGATGATTTCGGGGCTTTTTTTTAGTGTCCCCCGCGGCCCGGTCCTCGACCAGGCCTCCACCCCAGGAAGCAGCCCGTGACAGCTGACTAACACCCAGGTACCTATTTACTGGTAGGTAACAGGGGCATAGGGTGAAAGAAACTCTGCCCATTGTTTCTCGCCGGCGCCCGGGATCGAACCCGGGACCACAGGATCACAAGTCCAGCGTGCTGTCCGCTCGGCCGACCGGCTCCGGGTACTTATTTGGTACTTTCGACCAAATAATTACTGTAAGTACTTTCATTTTAGGAGGCTGGGCTGGTATATATACACTGGTTGCTTCTCCCCAGAGAGCACGGGAGACATCTCCCGTCACGCAGGGTGCAGTCGCACCTCCACGGATCTCCAGTATCATCTATTGATACTGGTAATGGCTCAAAAGGGCCACCACTTACGGGCTATTCGTGCCCGTGCCACCTTTTGGGTGGCTTAATCTTCATCAATCATCAATCAATCTCCCCAGAGAGAGACACACAGCCCCGCTCCTGTGCCAGGTAAGTCCACTACGGGCTCACCATAGCCCGTGCTACTTGGAACTTGTTCCGAGTAGCGGAATCTATAACAACAACAACATCTTCCCAGACACAATGACTTATTATGTATTAAACATATACAAACCTTCACGAACACTGAACGCTGTTTAAAAACACCTTCAGTGTCGTCGACGGTTCTCCAGGCCTTCAGAAGCATCTTCGCTGACGCCAGAGCAACGAACTGAAGTTGGAAAACGACAACACAAAACTACATAATTATCATGGCGATTAGCAGCCATCTTGGCACATATAAGCAACTTTATTAGCGCCATAACAGCCTCTTGCTACTGGGAAACGGCACAAGTCTGCTACTTAATTATCCTCATGCACATAAACCAGCGAGTGTCAGCAGGAGAATGTTATTGCTGCTCTGGGAGTCACCCTGGCGGCGGAGGCGGCGTGCAGCCCTCTGCGGAGCACCCTGGCGGTGGCGGCGTGCAGCCCTCTGCGGAGCACCCTGACGGCAGCGGCGGCGGCGTGCAGCCCTCTCCGGAGCACCCTGGCGGTGGCGGCGTGCAGCCCTCTGCGGAGCACCCTGACGGCAGCGGCGGCGGCGTGCAGCCCTCTCCGGAGCACCCTGGCGGTGGCGGCGTGCAGCCCTCTGCGGAGCACCCTGACGGCAGCGGCGGCGGCGTGCAGCCCTCTCCGGAGCACCCTGGCGGTGGCGGCGTGCAGCCCTCTGCGGAGCACCCTGACGGCAGCGGCGGCGGCGTGCAGCCCTCTCCGGAGCACTCTGGCGGTGGCGGCGTGCAGCCCTCTCCGGAGCACCCTGGCGGTGGTGGCGTGCAGCCCTCTCCGGAGCACCCTGGCGGCGGCGGCGTACAGCCCTCTCCGGAGCACCCTGGCGGTGGCGGCGTGCAGCCCTCTCCGGAGCACCCTGGCGGTGGTGGCGTGCAGCCCTCTCCGGAGCACCCTGGCGGTGGTGGCGTGCAGCCCTCTCCGGAGCACTCTGGCGGTGGTGGCGTACAGCCCTCTCCGGAGCACCCTGGCGGTGGTGGCGTACAGCCCTCTCCGGAGCACCCTGGCGGTGGTGGCGTGCAGCCCTCTCCGGAGCACCCTGGCGGTGGCGGCGTGCAGCCCTCTCCGGAGCACCCTGGCGGTGGTGGCGTGCAGCCCTCTCCGGAGCACCCTGGCGGTGGAGGCGTGCAGCCCTCTCCGGAGCACCCTGGCGGTGGTGGCGTGCAGCCCTCTCCGGAGCACTCTGGCGGTGGCGGCGTGCAGCCCTCTCCGGAGCACCCTGGCGGTGGTGGCGTGCAGCCCTCTCCGGAGCACTCTGGCGGTGGTGGCGTACAGCCCTCTCCGGAGCACCCTGGCGGTGGTGGCGTGCAGCCCTCTCCGGAGCACCCTGGCGGTGGCGGCGTGCAGCCCTCTCCGGAGCACCCTGGCGGTGGTGGCGTGCAGCCCTCTCCGGAGCACCCTGGCGGTGGCGGCGTGCAGCCCTCTCCGGAGCACCCTGGCGGTGGTGGCGTGCAGCCCTCTCCGGAGCACTCTGGCGGTGGCGGCGTGCAGCCCTCTCCGGAGCACCCTGGCGGTGGCGGCGTGCAGCCCTCTCCGGAGCACCCTGGCGGTGGTGGCGTGCAGCCCTCTCCGGAGCACCCTGGCGGCGTCGGCGGCTTGGAGGCCTCGCCTCTAGAACACGACGCCGCCTCCTCGACAACACGACGCCCCCTCCCCGACAACACGACGCCCCCTTCGACAACACGACGCCCCCTCCCCGACAACACGACGCCCCCTCCCCGACAACACGACGCCCCCTTCGACAACACGACGCCCCCTCCCCGACAACACAACGCCCCCTCCCCGACAACACGACGCCCCCTCCCCGACAACAACAGCACGCACACGACCGACAGTTCCCGTGACTAATAAGCCAAGGACTCACAGTAACGCCTGATGACCTTATCCGGAAGATGGCAGCGCTACTGGGGACCCGGAGCACTTAAGGCACCAGCCAGGCCACAGAGACTAAAGTCAATAGTCACACCACTCTCCTCCACAGCCACACTGCTCCACACTATCACTCACGCCACACTGCTCCACACTATCACTCACGCCACACTGCTCCGCACCATCACTCACGATACATCACACCACTGCCACACCACGCCACTTCACATCACACACCAGGCCACGTGATACAAAATACCTCACCCACCACCCCACGCCACACCACACACCACCCCACGCCACACCACCCCACGCCACACCACACACGCCACCCCACGCCACATCACCTGGCAGGACTGGAGGCGACGGGGGAGGAAACAAGGGGAACACAAAAGACGCGGTAGTCTGCTGTATGACTGACGTAATTGCTTGAAAATAAATTTGGTCATGATTACAAGGAACAGTTTGAGTCTGAAATTACTCTGCGGTTTCTGGGACCAAAATACTCAGCACAGGAGTACGACCAATATCAACTTGCACGCCAGCACCTTAAACTTTGCAATTAAAACAAAAGAAAGCGGCAAGAGTGTAGAATTAAACATATGCAACAGGTC